CACAGATAGTTCTGTGGACCACTTCGCAGACTTCCTCGGTGGAAAGGAAAATAAAGCGTCGACGTTTCTCATCAGGTTTGTTTTATATTTTTCCAACGAAAACTTCTAGGTAAGAGCCCTCGATAGATTTTAAACAAAAATCTTCACCTTTCATTTCCCAATGTATCTTGGACTGGAGATTTACAGGCGCCAGTTCCACCCCTCCGCCCACCCTTTTCCTGAAGTATCCCTCTCTTTGATGTTCTTAATTAAGATACCTAACAGCCAAAAAGGAAAAAAGGGGCTGGGAGGAGAACATACAGTACTTCAGAGTTTGGGAGCGAACAATGGAGTTGCTATGATTTTATTCTTCACAAATCCTTCATGCCAGGAAATTAAGACCGAGGGAATGTTTTTTTGAAATCCTCCTCTTCTTGGGGCTAAGAGTGGAAGATAGAGATGCCTTCAAGGGCTGGGGCAAAAGATCTCTAGGCTTGAGGCAGCACGAGAGGTCTTCTCCTTCAGTCCCTGATATCTTTCTGCCAGGGTTGAACAAGAGGGACGTGGTGGCGCTGCGGGCTAAACCGCAGAAGCCTATGCTGCAGGGTCAGAAGACCAAGCAGTCGTAAGATCGAATCTGCGCGACGGAGTGAGCTCCCGTCGCTTGTCCCAGCTCCCGCCAACCTAGCGGTTCGAAAGCATGCAAATGCAAGTAGATAAATAGGGACCACTTTGGTGGGAATGTAACAGCGTTCTGTGTCTAAGTCGCACTGGCCATGTGACCACGGAAGATTATGTTCGGACAAAAACGCTGGCTCTATGGCTCGGAAACAGGGATGAGCACCGCCCCCTAGAGTCGAACACGACTGGACAAATATTGTCAAGGGGAACCTTTACCTTTACCTGATCAGGTGGACCGGCGGACTCATTTCTGCTTATCTGGTCAATGGCTCTGCAAAATCTGGAATTCTAGAACTGGATTGTTGATATCGAACAACTCTGCTATCTACAGTAGACCATCAGGATAGGTAGCTGCATTTTAAAATTTCATGCAACTCCCAACGGTGATGGTGGGGAATGGCAGAGTTTTAAATGAAAAAGGAGAATGGGTGCTTAGAGAAAGCAATGCCTGTGGGTATCCAGAGGGAAGACCAACCCCCTCCCCCCCCATGCCCTTGTCTCACGTTGCGAGAAAAAGCAAAAAGAAGCAAATGAGAAGGAAAAGCAGTAAAAGGAAAGGGTGTCGAGAGAGAGATTTCATGAGCGATTCAGCCAAATAGTCCTCGTAACAGGGCAAGGTTCAGGGTCTGTGCTTCAAGTTAAGGGTTCTGTGTGAACCAACCTGTGTGTATGTATGAGTGAAACTAAGCCACGTTACTTTATCTTATTCACCTGATTATTTTATTTTCCCTGTGTGTTGTATTTAAATAAACCTTATTCTTTATTTGTTTAAAAATCCATCCCTGGTCTGTGTGACTTCTTATAGGGAATGGTTGGTGGCAGCTTAGTTAACGTGTGGCACATCCCAGTAGGTCTGGGTTTGTCACAACATGTATGTCTCTATAGGGCCTGTGGGCAGCACCATGCGGCACTTTTCTTTGCAGGCCCCCTAAATTCTTGGGACAGTTCAAAGAAAGGTGCAAGAGCTACAGTCTGAAGGAGAGTGAAAGACCAGAGGGAAAGGGTGCTGGAAGGGGTGGGAGAAAACGCAATGGGTGCCACAGGGAGGAAACACAAAAGGGCTTTTAGCCAACCCCAAAGCTGCTTCATCTGATAAATATACTAATTCCAGTCTTCAAAAAGAGGATGTTATTGTCAAAATAGATCCACCCTCGCACAACAGGGAGGTGTCGTGACATTCGGGGAAGCCAAGGTTTTCAGAAGAACAAAATGATATTTATGGTGTTTTGTGTTTTTTTAAATTCCAGGCAAGGATGAAGATCGTATGTGCTTGGTGGCCACAAAACGCCTACAGTTGGTTGGTGGAGAAAATGGAATACGGTGTCAGGAAAAGGGGAATGGAGAATTGTCCATTGTCTCGAACCCAGAACTGAGAGCAACCCGTGTTGCCATGCTGTGCATTACTTCTGTTTCTCATTTCTCTCTCTTTTTAACTTGATGTCCTCCAGATGTGTAGACTACAAGTCTCATCATTCCCCAGGTTGGAGGCACATCCCTATAAAATGCTTCAGACTATTCATTTTCTTAAAGAGACTCTGTCCCCCCCCTCCCCCTTTGTGCTTTCCTCTGTGCCAAAAATCATTTGGAAGACAAGTTCTCTCCAAGACAACAGCTTCAGGGTTTGCCCAAGGCGTTTTTGATGCCTGAAGTGACATTTCCAGCCCCACTGTTTTGGAGCCTATGGTTTAAAAAAGTCTTCCTGTACTATTCAGGTCACAATTTGTGTCCATCTATGACAAGAGGCAGTGACAGATTTTACCTTCTTGGGCTCCATGATGGTGACAGCAGCCACAAAATTAAAAGATGCCTGCTTCTTGGGAGGAAAGTGATGAAAAACCTAGACAGCAACTTAAAAAGCAGAGACATCACCTTGCTGACAAAGGTCCACATAGTCAAAGCTATAGTTTTTCCAGTAGCAATGTATGGAAGTGAGAGCTGGACCATAAATAAGGCTGACCGCTGAAGAATTGATGCTTTTGAACTGTGGTGCTGGAGGAGACTCTTGAGCGTCCCCTGAACTGCAAAGAGATCAAACCTATCCATTCTGAAGGAAATCAAGCCTGAGTGCTCACTGGAAGGACAGATCCTGAAGCTGAGGCTCCAATACTTTGGCCGTCTTACGACTAAACAACAACGACATTGAGTGGATTAAGGGAACACATTTGGGTGCGGGGGGTCCCTTTGTGTCCAGACTGAACAAATAACAACGACATTGAGTGGATTAAGGGAACACATTCGGGTGCGGGGGGGGGGGGCCCCTTTGTGTCCAGACTGAACAAATATGGCTCAAGAAAGTGGTGCCATTTGGAAAGTTGAATTTGTTGAATATTTTGCAATTCCCTGTTTTCCTAGATTCAGTCCCACCACATTGCTTCCCACTGTTTCTTTAAGTGTGATGCAAAGAGAACTCCCACTACGATTTCTTGTATTTGTTGAGACGGGCTGTCTCTGACTCTGCAATGATGCTCACCACCCGCAAAGCAAAGAGCAAATTTTCCAGAAATTCAAAACTCTGCAACAATTAGCATACCCGGGGAAACCCTGAAGCCAGAAAAAATACACAAGAGCCCCCATAGCTATCAGTGGGTGTATAGCTCCCAATCTGGCTTCCAGCCAATCCAGCCACCTACTCAAATATTGCATTCTGTCCTCCTTCCCTTGATTTTCTGTCCCACTTCCCAAAAAAACCAATGCACCACATCTCAAGATATACATGGGCAAGCTGGAACGTGTTTAGGGAAGGGTGTTCAAAGATGGCGAAGGGTTTATAAAAGAAGCTCTTGGAGGAACAATTGAGGGAAGACGGGTATGTCTAAGCCCGGAACAAAGAAGACCGAGAGCTGAAAGGACAGCCATCTTCCACTGCGTGTAGAGGTGTCACACAGAAGATGGAACAAGTTTGTATTCTGCGGCTCCAGAGAGCCAATTCCAAACCAATGCATTCAAATGACCAGAAAGGACGTTTTGATTAAACTTTGGGAAAGACGTCTTGATGGCCAAAGCTGTCCGACAGTGCTTTGAGAGAGGAGTCCAGCGGGTGGTGGATTATCCCTCATTGAAGGCCATCTCTCAGGGATGCTTGAACGGTGGATTTCCTGCATTAGTAGTGGGCCAGACAAAATGACCCTCAGGGTTCCTTCCGACTCCAAATTCTACGGCCTTACAAAATAACATTCATGATCCTGTAGCTACAGAGCGTGCTCTTTCCTCCTTTGACTCTTCCCCCTGCCCTGTACGGCATCTTGCCCTCTACTCTTTTCTCCTATGTCTCTAAAGGTTGGGCTTGTCCCAAGCATGCTAATATCTTCCTCTCCCTGGATGTGAACGGCACAGCTTGGGCTACATAAGGGTTGGCGGCAGGACAATGATATCACTACTGGTCCAGCCTGTGAAAGGATTTCCCCCATCTGTTCTTTTCTTGTTCCTTTCTTGTTCGCTCCACCTTGGCTCCCACTCCTGCTGAGACCGAATTTAACACGAGCTTTTGTAAACCAAATTCAGAGGTGGACCTTGAACATGCATAATTTCTTCAGTGCACTTATATCTTTTCCACTTTCACTCGCTACTTAGGAATATGCATGCTTTGTAAAATGCTGCAAAAAAGCAGCTTAGAGCTAAGCATTCATTCCCCCGTGCTGATTATTTTTCTGCCATGTTGTTATACCCACATGTGCATCTCAGTAAAATAAAATCTCACATATAACTGCTTTCCCATCGAGACACCTTTTTTTATATACCAGTGCTATACACTGGTACACTTGGTAGGTGGCTGGTTCAGTCTTTTTCCAGAATGCACCAGTTGTATATGTTCTCAGTTGTAAGTCTAATCCATATGCTTTGCTAATAATTTCTTTTTTAAAGCCTGCAGTATAAACTGCAGTTAAATTTCTCAAAATACACAGCTTTTTATGTATTTCCCCTATTTTTACATACTTCCTCCTCTTCTGTGTGCCCCTCGAAATATAGCTTCCAAGTTATCTCTCTAAAACATACATTTTTTGATCCAGGAACTTCATCGCAGTATTTAAAGCATACAACCTGGCAGGTAACAACAGTCTTATCCGTGTATTAGTTTGGAAAAAGTAATGTTGAACAAAAAGAATAAAGCAAAGGAACCGGAAGATATAAGAAAAATGCAAAGAAACGGCTTTTTGTACAAAACCTTAAAAATATATATATACAATGGACAATTGTTACTGTGTCAACTCTGTTTTGAAAAAAAAAACCTGCCCATTTAAAGCTCTGGGGAAGAATTCATACGAGGACAACTCCTGAGTTACACAGAACAGAAATGCCATCCTAAGTCCACAGCTGGGAATCCCAGGATAGCCATTGCTCACCTGCTGGTTCTTCCGTGCTGGTGACCACAGAGGTTGGATTGATAGCAGGAATCTCTGGAAAATAAACGACGGCACTTCTTAGTTGGCCGGACCCCATATGTGCACATTCCCTGTCCAAACAGAAAAAACTGAGACCGTCTCCACCGCTAGTTCCAGACCTCGGAGGTGGCTCATTTCCAGAGTGATGGGTTTCTACCCTGCTCCTCTTTCTCTCTCTCTCTCTGCATGCCACCATCATCTCTCCATCCCTTTGGGACCTTGTTTCCTGTCGGAGTGCCTCTCTCCCAAAACGTCTACCTGTTCCACCTGCACCTGTCAGCCTGGTATGCCTTGAGCGGCCACCCTGAGGGAGGCTTAGAAGTCTCCTACTCGGAATGGGGCCTTCTCTGTGACGGCCATGTTGCTTTGGAATTGTCTCCCGTCAGAAGTGCGCCTGGCCCCAATCCCTCCTTTAAGTTAGTTAGGCAACGTAAAGACCTGGCTCTTTTCACAAGCCTTTTCATAGCCTTGCCCCACATTAAATTTTAAATTAATATTCTTATTGCTTTTTGACTGGTTCCATTCTGAACTTGTCTACTTCCCTCTGCCGGCTGTTCGTTGTTGTTGTCTAATTTTATTCTGCTTAATGTTATCGTACTTCCGGGGATCATGTTTACCATGATCCCTTTTCTGGAATTTTCTGTTTTTGATTTGTTTGTTTTTATTCTCATTCTGATGCTATTTTGATGTTGCTCTGTTAGCCACCTAGAGAAGTGGCTCTGCTTCTAGTTGGGAAAGATGGAAACAACAAACAAAGAAATGAACAAACGAATGAACAAACGAATGAACGAACGAATGAACGAACGAACGAACGAACGAATGAATCTGTGTTGTCTAAAGCTCTGGTTCTTAACCTTGGGTTACTCAGGAGTTTTGGACTGCAACTCCCAGAAGCCTTCACCACTAGCTGTCCTGACTGGGGTTTCTGGGAGTTGCAGTTCAAAAGCATCCGAGTAACAAAGGTTAAGTACCACTGCTCTAAAGGAACATAAGCCTGATTCCATCATTTATTATAGAGTTATATTTATATGTCACCTTGCTTCCATTGAGCTCAGCGCTCTACTCCTGATTTTAACAAAACCTCACAAGAACCCTGTGAGCTTAAGTGAAGCAAAGAGAGGAAAAGTAATGGTCACTCGATACGTTTCATGGCTCAGTGAAGGCTTGAACTTGGGTCTTCTGTGTTCCAGTCCAACACTGTAACCACTACACCAAATTGCCTCTCTAGCCAAGTGCTGTCTGTTTTGACTAGTAGGAGCTTTCTAGGCTAAGCCATCACATCATCTCTTTTGTATGTGCTAGCCACTTCTGGCTGTCCTATAAACTAATGCCCTCCAAAAGTCATTAACGGCACTGCTCAGCCGTGTCAATATCTTGCAAATTAAACTCTGTGGCTTCCTTTATTGCATCAGTCCATTTTATTTGAGGGCTTCCTCTTTTTTTACTGCCTTCAATGATTCCTAGCATTCCTGTCTTTTCCAGCGAATCTTGACTACTCATGATATAGCCAACGTACAATAACCTCAATCTAGTCAATTCAGACAGTAATGAGTGTTCCGGCTTGATTTGATCTAGAACGACTTGTCTTTTAAAAGGTCCATGGTATGCATAACACTTCCTTCAAACACCACATTTCAAATGAACAGAATTGTTTCCTATTGGCTTTTTGCTCATCTAGCTTTCACACATGTACGTAAGATCTCCCCGTGCCTTTTAAATTGCAGGCGTCAGGGGCTGAACTGTATTTGCAAATCCCTTTCTTGTGTTCTGACACTAAATTTTGGTACCTTTCCTGCATTTGTGCAGAAAGTGATGCCGGAACACATACACACACAACATTCAGAGGCAAAATTATCAACATGGACTCCTCAGTGCTGTATGGTCTTTAGTGAAAACAAATGGTAAGACATTTCCAACCTAGATGGAAAGAAACCTAGATTCCTATCTCATTGGTTTTTAAGAATATGGCAAACTAACTTGTTGGAAACATCTGTAAGGCACAAGGTGAGCTTTCCCCATTTATATCCTTGTCCTGTGGGTTGAAATGCCATTTGCTTGCATCGTCCCTGTCTTGAGATAAGAAAATATGACTAGAGTTCATGGTTCACTATCCTTGTAATATTTGTATTCTGTCACAAGGTGTCACTAGAGCCTTGCCTGGTAAGTATGAACTGGTCCTTACAAAGAAAGAGCAAACCATCCTATGCTGACATGTAACAACTACTGAGAGCCTTGCAAAGCATAAGCAGATACTCAATGATGAGCAATAAAGATCCCTTCATGATTAGCATAAATAGCACCTCCTTCCATTTCAGATATTCTGACAGTTGTAACCAGTGTTTGAGAATACAGAGTTAAATTGCAAATTTATTCAGGATGCAGTAAGTAAATTAGTTTTGAGTTGAGCTCAGCAGCCCTAGAAAGAGGATTTCTTGAAACTAAACCAGGGGATATTATGACAATTTGTTTCTTTTTTATTTTTATTTTATTTATTTATTTTATTTACATCCCGCCTATCTAGCCGGTTAAGACCACTCTAGGCGGCTAACAACACCTCTGCATCCTCAGACTTCCCCCTTAAACAGTTACCTTGTTTGTTGGCGCATGTTTGCAGTCTACACAAACTGACTTACAGAAGCTGACATTGGTTGCTGTGACATACAACACAGAACAGCCTACTGTCTATGTGCCAGTCAACAACTTCTTGAAAATCCCATTTTAATCTCTGGATCGCTCAAATAATTAAAACACGAAAACAAACAAACAAAACAAAACCACACATTTCTAATAGATCAGAAAATCTTTGGTTCTGCAGATGTTTTGACCTATTAACTTCCACCCAAACTTACACAGTATGGTGGATGCTAAGGGATTGTGGCTGTTGTAGTCTAAAACATCAGGAGGGTAATGGGTTTCTAAGCCTTAGTTAATACTACGATGATGGACGAATTCAGGATAAGATTTTGCTAAGGGAAGGATATATGGAAGCCGCTTTGATGTCACTGTCCTTGAAAGACAGTGATTCAAAATACCTGGGAGAACACTTTTGGCCCATTCCCTTTCATCCCTTCGTAATGTGCACGAAGATAAATACTAAGGGCTCGATCACACTGGCAATAAGAACCGCTCTTGAACTGGGCTTTGCATAGATAAAATCGATTTTTAACATCCCTGTGACACAACACACATGGAAGCCGCCCAGAGAACTTTGGGTAGTGTGGGCGGCATATAAATTAAATAAAATAAATAATAATAAAGTGTGGATTTTTTTTTTTGCCCAAGTTTAAAATCAGGAGTGAGACATTTTACTGTATGGGTAGAGGATCATTTATTTTAAAGCGGATGTGAAATCGATTTATTTTTCATTGGTTTGGCATATGTGAATGGCTCTGCCAGTATAAATTGTATCTGTTGCGTTGGGCTGGCTGCCTCCCACTTACGGCTTCTGCTGTGGGCTTGTTTTTAATGTTTTGTTTGTTTTTTATCAAGTGGGGCAGCGATAGTTTGACATGACGGTGGAAATTTAGGAGCCACAGCAGAAAAAGAAAAGGAGAAAGCATTCCCTCCATCTCTACCAAGTCAAGAAGCTCCTGATATTGTCAATGTCAGTTTCACTTTGTGAAGGAGGGGGGAGGCTTTCTCCCTTTCCCTCTCTCTGCTGGCTTGTACATTCCCCCTGTCATGGCAGACTATCACTATCCCACTTGGGAAAAGAGCATAAAAATGAAAAACAAATCTGCAGAAGTGGTAAGTGGCTGTGGAACGCAGCCAGCACGAGGGCAGGCGGACACAGGACAAAGCCTCCAATGAAAAAAATTCTAAATGGATTGCAACATTGAAAACATTTCTGCAAACATGCTGGTTAATGAAACGATGCAAAATCTCATGTGTAGTTTCCCGAAGTGGTTATAAGCCCTGACTTTATATTGGAGTACTGTAATAATGTTCAAAGTGAATGTCCGCAGTGATACAAAAACGATGTGACTGTAAATCAATTTAAAATGCATCAGAGCTGAAATGGATACAAACCAACAGTGTGAACAAGCCCTAAAAGGTTACATGAAGCTCTATATACCTGAGTCCAATTATCGGTCTATGGGCCTGTTGGTTTTATATATATATGTATGTATATATGTATATATTTCTCCTCTAGAAGAATACCTTGCCCCACAAGACTCAGATGGTCCAAGAATCAACACAAGATGATACAGGTATCTAGCACTCTGTTCTGACAATTTCAGGGCCACTGTGGAAAGGATCTACATAAGTAGCATAATAAAGCAATTTGTAATCCAATTAATATAACCCGTGTTATAGCTTTATTGTAATGCCCAACTCCTCCTCCTTTTCATAAGGTGAATTTTCATGTCTAAAAGTGGAATGCATTCCCCTTTAATCTCATTTTTTAAGACCAGGCGTAGAAGCCATCATTACCCTGTGACGAGCAAAACAAAGCAAAGGAGAGGAAAAAAACACACAAAAGAATGCGGGCTGCATGAGAAACTCAACAGCATTACTCACTGATGCACGGAGCCACTGGTGACCGGCTCTGCTGGTAGCCTTTGGCGCAGCGGTTGCAGGTTAATCCTGTCACGCCATCTTTGCAAGGGCACTGGCCGGTGGTCTGGTTGCAGGTTTTTCCAGCTGCACCGACAGGATGGCAATCACATGCTAAGCACAGGGAGGAGAGGGAGGGGGAGACAGAGGAGAGAAAGCAAAGAGGAAAGAACATTGGACGATGCAAGCACACATACAAGACGTTTATGCATTTACAAAATTCATAAAACCATCGGCTCTGAGACCCGGAATTATACAGAAACAACAGATCAATGCAAAGCACTCGGGAACAGCAAGCAAAAGATCTCCCAAATCAGCCCCAGGGTGGGATAAAATTGCACAATACACACAACAGAGGGGAATAAACTGTGAGTGTTTGTGTGGCTATTCAGCACTAACATAGCTGAGTGTGCAGGGATTCAAACTTCCAAGAGACAAACACCGGATGGACCAGTATGTCTGTTTCTGTTTCTCCCCTATTTAAAGTAGCACTCCCCCCCCCCAAACTCTCAAATTCTTTCCATCCCAAATAGGAATACATGTGGGGAATTTTCAGATGCATTCTTATAAAAACATAATGAAATTAAATGCTCCCCAAATGAGTGACACATAGCTCTGACTTTATGGGACAGGATCTACTTGGGGGTAGAGTGGATGATTTCAGATGCAATCCCAGGCATCAACAGATCAATGGGAAGGGAATTTATAGAAGAGTTCTCTGTAGAGATCCTTGGGGCCTGCCATGACTTGCAGTAGACTATGTTGGGCTACACGTTCCAGTAGTCACCATCTGGCTGACCATTATGCAGCTTCATATATTCACGACAAATTGAAGCCATCCCACGATAACATTAGGAAGCTTTCCAGTTTCACACCTACCAGATGTGCTAAACTACAGGTCCCATCATACATAGCCATTGGCCATGATGATGGAGCATTCTGGCAGTTGTGATCCCAAGCAGTAACTCTGCCAAGCTCTGATAAACAGTACCTTTGATTTACTGCTCAGTTATGAAATTCACAAGACTCTGATAGTGCCCTCTTTGTAAGCAAGAGAATAATGGATAATAGATGGTGAACAATCAACTAATGAATAACAAATGGAGGAGGCAAATGGTCAAGTCTAATCATCAGGCGCAAGAGAGCAGCCGCCCCCTTAAGCTGAAGTGCTTGTACACACAGAGAAGATTGTTTGGAGGGATTCGATGCGGCCGGCCGTGGGATCCTATTTGTTTATACTTCTTTCCCTAAGGAGCAAGCTGCACCCTCTTCTATGCTGTCATTGATTAGGAACTGCGGGTAAAGGACAGGCAATACTCCCACCTGTCAGGCGTTCAACAGTGGCTATTAATGTCTTTGTGATATAATGTTTAAACAAACAAACAAACAATTAAATGAATGAATAAATAAATATATATATGCCCCCTGCCAATTAGGCCCTAAGCCAGAAATTTTTAATCGGAGGGCTGAATAGAATAAGGCTGCAGGGCTAAAGGGAATGCAGGTGAAGAGTTTTCAATAGCAGAATTTCCCATATTTTCCACGTATAAGACTATACTTTTATCTAAAATCTTTAGACTAAAAACTTAGAGTCGTCTTATACATGGAAGTAAGCTGAGGAGAGAACAAAAACAAATGGAGGGGAAAGCCAGGATCAAAGCGATCCTGCAGCGCTTTGATCCTTTCCCCCTTATATTTGCTAAGCTCCACTTAGATTTCTTAATTTTGGATTATAAAAGTGGGGGGCGTCTTATACACGGACAAATATGGTACTTCTAGCTTCGTTGGGGAAAGAACTGTAGCCTCTGGCCCAAAGTGCTCTGCCCTCCAACCCATGTTGTTGGTGCCTCCCCACTACGCACAAAGCAGGAGCCGCCTGCACAAGCCAGCCCTTGTGCAATACGATATATTCCTCCTGGACAGGTCCAGAGAACATCCAGACTGTTGGCAGAAAGGACCAACACCTGTTGCAAGTGAACTGAAGTGAGGGCCAGGACGACCTGTCTCAGAGGTTCATACTCTTGTCTTTGCTAACTCTCCTGGTACATTGACAACACAAGCCTTCTTTACCCCTCCTCTCCATTTGCTTTTTCTTTCACCTTGCACCTCCATTTTGGTTAGAAAGAGATGAACCTGCATGCATGCATGGAAGCCACCTCTAGGGGGTTTGGTAACCTAGTTTTAAATGCTTTTTAAAATACCCTCCACTACCGTTAAATGGGATGTGCTAGTGCTGCGGGCTAAACCGCAGAAGCCTTTGTGCTGCAGGGTCAGAAGACCAGCAGTCGTAAGATTGAATCCACGGGACGGAGTGAGCTCCCATCACTTGTCCCAGCTCTTCGCCAACCCAGCAGTTCGAAAACATGCAAATGCAAGTAGATAAATAGGTACCACCTCGGTGGGAAGGTAAAACGGCGTTCCCTAGTCACGCTGGCCACGTGGCAACGGAAACTGTCTTCGGACAAGCGCTGGCTCTACGGCTTGAAAACGGGATGAGCACCGTCCCCTAGAATCGGACACAGCTAGACTAAAAATGTCAAGGGGAACCTTTACCTTTTTTTTACCGTTAAATGGACTTCCTTGTTAATAAACAGTAAGCTTGCATTTTGCTTTATTTCCAGTCATCAGAATAATCATTCCTCTTCACAAGTAGAATGCTAAGTGAGTGCACCCTGCCAATTAATACCAACATACTCCTCATACAATTATCAGGCTCCCTGTCTATCAGTCAGTCTGGTCCAGTCCAGTATCCTATCCTATTCTCTCTGTTAATACAAAAAATATTCAGTATGTGTACAACACATTGTGTATCACTTGTAGTCTTTCTGGCTGCAGACTCTGAGATTTTCATATACAGTACACATTTTTCTCTGTTGACAAGTCAGAATCACGCATTGCCAACCCCAATGGGATGCATCTACATGACCACAGAATTTGCCCTTTCTAAGCCTGTCTTTCTTGGGTCAACATCCTGGTACATCATCCTGTATATTAGGATGCCTTCCTGCATGAAGTTCTGGACACCCAGAAACAGCCAACGAAGGGATAATCTATAGCTCCTATGCAACGAGGTAAGACGTCTGCTCATATCTCCAGCGGTGAGCCCATCGCCAGCAAATCACAGGCAGAGCGGAAGGGAGGGTGCATTAAGGCTCATTAAAGGTAATGAATTGCAAGCCTGAGAGAGATTGGGAGGGGGGGTGGAGAGGAGAGAGAATTAAAATAAAAAGAAAAAGAAAAAAAATGATGATGGGTGGTTTCCGGTGGGGGAATTTTTAAACTTTGGAAAAAATGTGTAGCAGAGGCGGTCTGGTTTATGTCAGAAGGAAAAAGGGGCTAAATTTATTTACAATGCTTGGCTCATTTTTATTGTCAGAGAAGCAAACAGTGAAGGTGGTTTTCTCCATCAAAGTCTGCCAGGCTGATTAACAGATTCTGACGGTCCTTGGCCCAAACGGCAACTGAACCTCTCGTCTCCCTCTGCCCAGCTGTGAGAAACTGCATGTTAAAAATACCATTCCATTAATTATAAAACCGCATGCAAATAAAATGCACAAATGCTGTGTTTATTACATGGCAGCTAGGGAGAATATTTCTACCATAGCCTTGTAAATACTGCCTGTAACTTGCATTGGCCAGCTGCTGTTTGATGAAGCTGGATGCTGAAGGGGGGGGGTGTCCTTCTGAGTTCTCCTGGGTAGTAGCGCCAATAGCTCATCCAGATATGCATCAACAAAAGAGGACCAAAGTTTTATTTATCTATTTATCTACTTGACTGATATACCACTCCATTAGTGCAAACATTAGTCAAAACAGTTTGCAGGTTAAAACTTAAGGCCCCCAAAATCCCACATAAATACATTCAACAATAAGTGATATAACAGAGTAGGTCTAAAATTTATACAAAAAGGGGGGAAACAACATTAACATTAATTAATGTTAAAATTAATTATACCCCGCCCATCTAGACACATGTCTACTCTGGACGGCTGACAAAAATAGAAGAACTTCTCCACTTCTTCGTTTTGCTGCTGCTGATGGTGGTAGTGAAGGAGCCGGGAGGGGTTGTGGTTGGTGACGAGGGCTTGCGTGCCCCTCCTCCTCCTCCTCAGAGCCCCAGCCAGGCTAAGGAAACTCCTGGGCAGCTTCCTCCGGCTGTTGCTCCACTTGGCGGATAATCTGATGCAGCCCAGCCTCACCCAGACTCTGCCTCCAGCGGCCCCCAGGTAAATTGAGTTTGAGACCCCTGATGTAGATATTAAAAAGCATTGGGAAAATGTTTGACCCCTGTGGGACTCCGTAGCCAAAGTACCAAGGGGTGGATAGAATCCCCAAGCTTGATAGCCTTCCCAGAAAGATTCCATGGTCAATAGTATCAGGGGGTCCTTCTGAGTTCTCCTGGGTAGTAGTGCCAATAGCTCATCCGGATATGCATCAACAAAAGAGGACCAAAGTTTTATTTATCTATTTATCTACTTGACTGATATACCACTCCATTAGTGCAAACATTACTCAAAACAGTCTACAGGTTAAAACTTAAGGCCCCCCAAATCCCACATAAATACATTCAACAATACAGTGATATAACAGAGTAGGTCTAAAAGAATTCCATGGTCGATAGTATCGAAGGCTGGAAAAAGATGCAGGAGAATCAACAGGGTTACACTCCCCTCTGTCTACCTTCTTTAGGAGATCATCCCACAAGGTGATTAATGCTGTTCCAGTACCATGTCACCGCCTCAACCGATTGAAATGGAACCAGACTACCAGTTTCTTCCTCTTGCACCTGCAACTAATCAGCTGCCACCCTCTTGATTAACTTCCCAAAATCGGAATCTTTGAGATTGGTCTATAGTTGTTTAACTTGTCCGTTACCAGATGATTTTTTAAAAAATGAATGAGCCTTATTATAGTTTCATTTCAACGGAAGGGCACATGGTCTTCCCGAAGAGATATGCTGATGACGTGGATACGACATTCTATTGTCGTATCCATGGGAAATTTTAATAGCCAAGATGAGCAAGGATCTGAAAAAGATGTACTGTAGTAGCTTTACAGCTGCAAGTGCTTTGTCTGCTTCCTCGGGTCTTACCAACTGAAACAGATCCAATAAA